GGGCACGAACCCGCGTCCCCTGCATCGGCAGGCGGACTCTCAACCACTGCGCCACCAGGGAAGCCCTATCTTACTACGTTAAAAAAAATTTTTTTTTCTTTCAGTTTTGAGATATGAGGGGTTAACCATCCAAAATTTTCAGCGGTTGAATAAGCATGAATTGACATCTCTAATTAGAATGAGTGGAAACTATTCCATTTGGCATTCTTAAACATTTTTCAATTTTACAAATGAAAATTTTGAAATATTCCCTCCAAGAAAAGCAAAGGAATGTGGATCATTTATTTTTAAAAATAAATTTGTTTATTTATTTATGGCGGCGTTGGGTCTTTGTTGCTGTGCGCGGGCTTTCTCTAGTTGAGCGGGGACTACTCTTCGTTGCAGTGCGCGGGCTTCTTATTGCTGTGATGGCTTCTCTTGTGGAGCACAAGCTGTAGGTGTGTGGGCTTCAGTAGTTGTGGCACGTGGGCCTCAGTAGTTGTGGCTCACGGGCTCTAGAGCGCAGGCTCAGTAGTTGTGGTGCACGGGCTTAGTTGCTCTGTGGCATGTGGGATCTTCGCAGACCAGGGCTCGAACCCATGTCCCCTGCATTGGCAGGCGGATCCGTAACCACTGCATCACTAGGGAAGTCCGATCATATACTAAGAATCATCTTTCAGATATCATTTTAATGTGCGATGATTCCTTGACATTGTAATGACCACAAACCTAACATTCAGAACTCAAATTTAAACATTTAGTATTTTCTATATTATTTGCACCATTATGTCTTTATTAAAACTGCTACTTAGGAGATGGCAGTTGTCACCCAAAGCTCTGCACTAGTACATGGAAATTTGATAAAGGTCAGCCTTAAGTTTTTGAATTGTTAGACAGTTTTAGAATCTAGAAAAGGGATGGATGACTGATAACTGATTTAAAGGATCCAAAGAAATTGACTCTAAAGGCTGCAACCCAGTTTATACCACAGAATTCCCCAAAAGCTCAAGAATAGGCTTGTTATTTCTACAAGGGCTTAAGGTAGGGCTAAGAAAGTTATGGCTGAAAATCTGTTGAAGAAACAACCCAGGTTCACTACTTCACTTTGGGTAGCTGGGCAAATGCCTCTTCTCTGTCAGGAGAGAAGACTAGAGATTTACTCACTGGAGAGTAAAATAGGTAATTTATATTAATAATTGAAGCAAGTCTTCATACCTGAAGAAAGGGGATTAACTAAATGTTTACATACTGAATGCTAGGACTCCCAACCTTGTTCTTCCATTTAACACCCCCAAATTTACAGGCATAAAGACTTTTCAGGCTGGAAATTGAAAGATTCTTCTCTAGGGGATCTGAGACCACCAAGAAGAGAGACTGAAAGACACTGACATTGTGGGTTTCTCAACTGATCACCCTACAGTGAAGCCCAAAGTCAAACAAGCAATGCCCACATCCTTGCCTTTATTAGTGTCTGGCTCTTAAATATGAGCAGAATAAAGGATGAGAGAAGCTCCTAATGTGAAAGAAGGAAAATAAAATTAGTTATTTGAATAGACTATGTAAGGGGAACACAACCCAAATATTATTATTAGTATCTTCAGAAAGGAAAGATGTTGTATAAATGAAACAGGACAAGTTACTACAAAAAGAAATCATTCAGATAATTGAAAATAATTCTTGCAAGTGGAGAATGATAACAAAAGTGAAAATCTCAATAGAAGATTTGGAAAATAATGTTGAAAGAAATCCAGAGAACAGAGCAGAAAACTAAAATGGTGGACAATAGGAGAAAGAAATTAAGAGTAGAGGACTAGTCCAAGAGGTCCAACTTCCAAATAATAGAAGTTTCAGAAAGTCCAGGAAATACAAACCAACCAAACAAGGACATCATCACATTATTCAAGGAAATTTCCCAGAACTGAAAAAACATGTTTCCTATTTGAAAGAGTCCAACAAGTACTCAGCACAATTGATGAACATAGATTCACTCTAAGGGACATCATGAGATTTCAGAAGCTAGAAGACACCTTAGAAATTTTGAAGGAAAATGTTTCTAACATAGAATTCTATACCAAGTTAAACTGTCAACTAAGTGTGTGTGTGTGTGTGTGTGTGTGTGTGTGTGTGTGTATGTAGGTGTAGCTTTCAATGATTATGTACCCTTCAATTTGTCATTTTTATAATACATTTCTAAAAATAGAATTTTGATAAAACATTTTGATAAAACATTTTTAAGAAGTTTGGTAAATAACATTTTCAGACATACATGTTCTCAAAATTTACCTTCCTTGTACCCTTTACAAAGCTATGAGAAGATGTTCTTCCAACCATAGCAAGAGAACAAATTAAGAAATAATCTACAGCAGAGGCTCTCAAACTTTAGTGTGCATCACAATTACTTGGGGAGCTTGTTCAAACACAGATAGTTTAGGCCCCACATCCAAAGTTTGATTCGCTTGGTAATTATAGGGTGGGGACTCAAGAAATGATATTTCTAGCAAATTCCATAGGCCACTGATCCATAGGCCACACTTTAGAACCATTGAGCTCTAAGGTACCAGAAGCAGGAGATTAATACAGGATGAAGAAATGAAGAGAATTTGTAATATGATGAAGGGAGAATGCAGGATGGGAGCTGTATGTGCAGTAAATGTGCACATGGGGACATGTCAGAAGATTCTAGTATATCTTTAAGAAGAAATTGCTAGAACACCTCATGTATATGACTATCTAGAGGAATTTTAGACAACTGGGGTTGAATTTGTGAAAATACATAGAAAAGTAAGCATAAGAACAAACACAATTATTAACTTCAAGGGTGGGGATCATACAGGAAAGGGTAAATTCTAATATACTACATTGTCCAGTTGTGAACAGTATTAACATCTAACCAAAATGACCATATAACAATATCAAGAGGCTGGTGAGATGGGAAATATTTGTGTTTAATGATAAAGAGTTAAATCTTCAGATAGTACCTAAACCTGAAAATCAAGAAATAACAGTGTTAGCATGTTATTTAGAGATATCCTGGTAACAGAGTTAAAAATGAGTGAGGAGAGGAAAATGGTGGTGCAGGCCAGAACACTGCTGAGTTTCCTAACAAGCCTAATAGAACTATTTGACTCTTAAAGTGTAAACTAATGGGGATTGTATGTATATGTGTATAGTTTTAAAGTATATGTATTTAAAAAAAACCCTAAAATACTGAAGAAGATAACAGACTAGCAGTAACTAGGTAAATACCTCTTAGAGTCCTTGGTACAAGAGGTGCTTACTGAAAGTAGACATTATCCATTGTGGGCAGAGGCAACAAGTGAATAGAATTCCAGCCATGAGATTATTCTGATGTTAAACATTAAACATTAAGTTTGAGTTAAACATTAAATATTTACATATACTAATAAGCATGGGAAAATGTTGAAATTTCACTTTGACCCATTCTCTGGAAACAACATTTGAGTCAATAGGTCTCAATCTTGACTGCACATTAGAATGTATGAGGAACTTTAAAAAAATCTTGTTGCACAGGCTACATCTTGGAGGGAGGGTATTCAGGCATCAATGCTGAAGTAATTTAGTTTCATCTGGTAAAAATTAGCTGAAAGATTTCTCTCTGTCTCACACTCACTGTTTCTTCTCTCACAGTTTATTTTCTGTGATGATGTATGTTTACCTATATCACTATTAATTAAAAGATTGTAAGCCTTAAAATGTTTCTTTCCTTTGTTTTAAGCCGCCTGATGGCATTGAAACGAATGGGAATTGTAAGTGACTATGAGGTAAGATAAACCCTTCCAAGTTTTTGAAGATGATTTCAGTAAATGAAAATAACTTTCGATGACATTTCCGATGAAGAATTATTTATTTTAGTATATCTTTAAGAAGAAATTGCTAGAACACCTCATGTATATGACTATCTAGAGGAATTTTAGACAACTGGGGTTGAATTTGTGAAAATACATAGAAAAGTAAGCATAAGAACAAACACAATTATTAACTTCAAGGGTGGGGATCATACAGGAAAGGGTAAATTCTAATATACTACATTGTCCAGTTGTGAACAGTATTAACATCTAACCAAAATGACCATATAACAATATCAAGAGGCTGGTGAGATGGGAAATATTTGTGTTTAATGATAAAGAGTTAAATCTTCAGATAGTACCTAAACCTGAAAATCAAGAAATAACAGTGTTAGCATGTTATTTAGAGATATCCTGGTAACAGAGTTAAAAATGAGTGAGGAGAGGAAAATGGTGGTGCAGGCCAGAACACTGCTGAGTTTCCTAACAAGCCTAATAGAACTATTTGACTCTTAAAGTGTAAACTAATGGGGATTGTATGTATATGTGTATAGTTTTAAAGTATATGTATTTAAAAAAAACCCTAAAATACTGAAGAAGATAACAGACTAGCAGTAACTAGGTAAATACCTCTTAGAGTCCTTGGTACAAGAGGTGCTTACTGAAAGTAGACATTATCCATTGTGGGCAGAGGCAACAAGTGAATAGAATTCCAGCCATGAGATTATTCTGATGTTAAACATTAAACATTAAGTTTGAGTTAAACATTAAATATTTACATATACTAATAAGCATGGGAAAATGTTGAAATTTCACTTTGACCCATTCTCTGGAAACAACATTTGAGTCAATAGGTCTCAATCTTGACTGCACATTAGAATGTATGAGGAACTTTAAAAAAATCTTGTTGCACAGGCTACATCTTGGAGGGAGGGTATTCAGGCATCAATGCTGAAGTAATTTAGTTTCATCTGGTAAAAATTAGCTGAAAGATTTCTCTCTGTCTCACACTCACTGTTTCTTCTCTCACAGTTTATTTTCTGTGATGATGTATGTTTACCTATATCACTATTAATTAAAAGATTGTAAGCCTTAAAATGTTTCTTTCCTTTGTTTTAAGCCGCCTGATGGCATTGAAACGAATGGGAATTGTAAGTGACTATGAGGTAAGATAAACCCTTCCAAGTTTTTGAAGATGATTTCAGTAAATGAAAATAACTTTCGATGACATTTCCGATGAAGAATTATTTATTTATTTATTTATTTATTTATTTATTTATGGCTGCATTGGGTCTTTGTTGCTGTGCGCAGGCTTTCTCTAGTTGCAGCGAGCTGGGGCTACTCTTTGTTGTGGTGTGCAGGCTTCTCACTGCGGTGCTTTCTCTTGTTGCAGAGCACGGGCTCTAGGTGTGTGGGCTTCAGTAGTTGTGGCTCGTGGGCTCTAGAGTGCAGGCTCAGTAGTTGTGGCGCATGGGCTTAGTTGCTCCATGGGATGTGGGGTCTTTCTGGACCAGGGCTCGAACCCGTGTCCCCTGCATTGGCAGGCAGATTCTTAACCACTGTGCCACCAGGGAAGCCCCGATGAAGAATTATTAACCAATACATATATAATTTTGCATTTTACAGAAAATCCGTACCTTTGCTGTAGCAATAGTAGGTGTTGGTGGAGTTGGCAGTGTGACTGCTGAAATGCTGACAAGGTGTGGCATTGGTAAGGTAAAAACATCTCTCTTTGTCTATCATTTAGGGAACCCAATCACTTCTGGAGTAAATCAGGTACAAATTAGAATTTCTTTTCTCCTTACTAATGGCTTATTGATTTGTGGTGTATTTATTTATTTATTTATTTATTTGATTTTTTTCTATCCCAGGTTTCTTTTTTTTTTAAAATTGGGGTATAGTTACAATGTTGTGTTAGTTTCTGGTGTCAACGAAGTGAATCAGTATATGTATACATATATCCCCTCCCTCTTGCACCTCCCTCTCACCCCCTTACCCCCCCATCTCCCCGCATCCCACCCATCTAGATCACCACAGAGCACCGAGCTGAGCTCCCAGTGCTATACAGCAGGTTCCTACTAGCAGTTTTCCACATGGTAGTGTATATAGGTCAATCCCAATCTCCCTATTCATCCCACCTCCCTAATCCCCCCGCGGCATCCGCATGTCTGTTCTCTATGTCTGTGTCTCTATTCCTGCCCTACAAATAGGTTCATCTGTACCATTTTTCTAGATGCCACATATATGCGTTAATATACGATATTTGTTTTTCTCTTTCTTCACTCTGTATGACAGATTCTAGGTCCATGATTTGTGGTGTATTTATTCAGGTTGTTTTTTCTACCCCAGTGGGTGGAGTTAAGACATAAACCCACCCAAAAGGAAGCTAATATTATTACTAATTAAACAAGGACTGTCTGATTTTGTTCAGGAATTTTCTGTTGGGATTTAAGTGTTTTAGACTTTCCTACAAGTTTAGGAAAGAAGGCTGTTAAATTGATAAAGTGTGTAGTGAAACACTGAAACATCCAAAAAAATTTTTTTAAACACAGATTTTATACAAGATAAACTAGAAAGCATGTACCTTTCTTACTCTTGAATTTGAAATGGTGAATGCTCCAGATTTTTTTAAACCCATACATTTCTTTTTTTTTTTTTACTTTTTTCTAAAATTTTTTTTTTGGCTGTACCACGTGGCTTGCAGGATCTTAGTTCCCCGACCAGGGATTGAACACCCAGGGCCATGGCAGTGAAAGCACTGAGTTCTAACTACTGGACTGCCAGGGAAGTCCCATACTATTTTCTAAAATTGATTTGATTGGATAGGAAGGAGAAGTTAACTTTGTACCAGAAATCAGCCTACCAATCTTAGATTTATAAAGCCAGAGTCCATGATGTTAGATAGATAGTGGTTGAATATATAAGTTTTCCACAATTGTATATCATTTTGCTAAACTTTGTGGAAAAATGTTTGCTTTATCAATGCTTTTTAATACGTTGGTGCACTCCATGCCCCAAATTCTTAAAAGAAAGTGGTTTCAAATTTGGCACTTATTTATCAATATAGAAAAGACAACACCAAAATACTAAAAATGTTTAACATTTTAAAGCCTTTCAAGAAGTTTATAAAAGCTAGCCAATAATTGCTTATACCTGACATATATGCCTTGGCTGATTGATCAAGGGTGGTAGAGATCATGGAGATTTGCTGGTCGCAGGTTTGAGTGTGCACTAGAATCACTTGGAAGGCTTATTAAAACAGATTGCCGGACTCTATCTACCCCAGTGGTTTTGATTCTATAGGTTTCAGGTGGACCTAAGAATGTGCATTTCTAACAAGTTCCCAGGTGGTTCTGATGATGTTGTTCCGGGGACTATGCTTTAAGAACAGCATCACCTGGGAGCTTGTTATAAATGAAGATTCCTAGGCCCCACCCAAGACGTGCTGAATCAGAATCTATATTTTAACAAGAACTCCAGGTGATTCGTAGGCATATTAAAGTTGAGGAAGTACTCCAGTATTTCTAACAAGCTTCAGGTGATGCTGACGGGGTTATCCCAGGCCCCATTTTGAGTAGCAAGGGTCTAGAACAGTTAGCAAATATTTCTGTAATTAGAATCACCTTGTATGTTTAAAAAAATTCTTATGTTCAGACTGCACCACATAATAGGTTAATCAGAACCTCTGGGGTTGAGACCTACACATTTGTATTTTTTAAATACAGTGGTTCCAATGTAAACTCAAGTTTGTAAGCTAAGGATCTACATAGGTAAGTTTCAGAACTCTTTCTCCAATATGTAAAACAGAGAAACAAGAAGCTGTTTCATGGGGTTGAGTAGGGAAGTGGAGGATTGGAGATCCAGAGCCCACTTCTTATCCCTGAAAGTTCTGGAATTCCTGGGGCACACTGAATCACCAGATCTAGATCAACTGCCTTATTTTACAGATGAGGATACAGTCCTGAACAGTGAAAGTGACTTACCCAGAAGCAGATCTAATTAGTGACACGGTTACTACTCGCACCTCCTGTCCCCAAATTTAGGATTTCCTACAACTTACTCATAAACCAGCTATGAGGCCGAAACTCAAATTTAAAACTTGGCCTGACCTAATAAATATTGTTGACTGAGATTAAATAAACCAAATTTTGGAGACTCTAGGTAGGGTTAGAAAGTTTCATAGAGAGTATAAGTGATATCTCTTCTAGCAAAATAGTGAGAGTTACCTACGTGTTGTTTTTATGGGCTGGGTAAACATTTTTTAGTTTCTGTATTGAGAAGAAGAAAATCCCATTTTTGTTTTTATTGTTAGATTTAGGATGCTGAGAATTATATTACAAAGTCACAGAATTTTAGATAAAGAAGGAGGGACTTCGGGAACTGTATATCATTTTTACACTGCTTTGAATTATTCCATAGTTCTAGAGGCTCAGTTTTCTGTTTTTTGTTTTTTTTGGTTCTTTTTTCCATCACTTTAGATAAATTGCATTGCTCTGCTTTCAAGTTCATTGATCCTCTTTTTCCCCTGCAACGTCTTATCTAAGTCTCATCCAATAAAAATTTAATTTTAGATAATTAAAAAAAAAAGGGGACTGTGGATATACCTGGGTTCAACCTGTTCCTACTGATAAGAAATGGACCTTTCGGCCATTTTAAAGTTGTGTGAGTGTGTTTGACAAATGCTGTCATGCCTAAATATATAGCAGGAAACAACAGTTAACTAATTGGTTAATAATTCTGTTTGGAATAATGTTTTAGCCATGGCATGAGTATATATAGTGCATTATTCATGAAAGGAATTGTGTTATACTATGGTTTTAAGTTACAGCATTTGTTTTTGTCTTATTTAAAAATTTCATTTATCTAATGGGTTTTTGGTTTTTAGCCAAACATTGGAATGAAGTAGGATTTTGGCACAGTTTGTAAAAATTACAATGAAATGGAATGAACATTAATTTTTGAGCTAATCATTTAGAGAGGCAGTACAGCATTGTGTGTAGGGTACAGATGCTGGATTGAGAATGCCTGAATTTGAATCCCATTTTTACTACATATTAGCTGAGTGGCTTTTGGGCATGTACCCTAGTTGTCTTATTTCTAAAACGAGGATAAGAGTACCTATATATTGTATGGTCACTAAATGAGTTAATATATGGCACCTAGTATTTCAGAATTAGTTAATATTATTACTGTCAAACAGTTAAACCCATCAGGTGGAAAGCTGACTAGTTTGTTATTTTTAGTTTGTTTTTTGGTACATTTTTCATCAGAATACCACTATTTTCATTTTAGTTGCTACTCTTTGACTATGGAAGGTGGAACTGGCCAATATGAATAGACTTTTCTTCCAACCTCATCAAGCAGGATTAAGTAAAGTTCAAGCAGCAGAACATACTTTGAGGTAAATGGAATACCAGTTGAAGGCAGTGAAATTGTTGAAATCTTCCTGTGTGTATTTGGTATGAGCTAAACTAACGTATAAATGCACCTGAATTTTCCTTTATAAAAATGCAGGTTTCACTTATACAAAAAGAATTTTCTTACCTCTTTGATCTGGGTTGGCAGCCTCTTTTTTGAGAGTAAATATTTTATGCTTTGAGGGCCATATGGTTTCTGTCAAAACTGCTCAACTATGCAGTTGTAGTAGCTGTAGGCAATATATCAATAAAAGTGAATGAGCATGACTACTCCAATAAAAACTTTATTTATGGACTCTGAAATTTAAATTTCATATAAAATTTTACATCATGAAATATTGTTCTTCTTTTGACTTTTTTGTTTTCTTGCAACCGTTTAAAAATGTAGAAACTATTCTTAGCTTGCAGAACTTACAAAAAAAAAGGTGGCAGGGTGGTAGTCAAATTTGGCCCAAGAGGCAGAGTTTGCCAACCCTTACTCTAGCACGTTTCTTTGTGGTCCTAAACATATTTGCACTGAATTGGATAAGAAACAAAGATGCTCTTCTGTCAGGCTGAACTGTAGCTAACAGAGGTAATAAAGACTTAATTCCCAACACATGGATTGTGGGAATATTTTTGTAATCCTTCTGACAGTCTATGTGTTTTGAACCTGGTCCTTGAAGTGGGACAAAAGAGGTAGAAGAGGACTTTGGATTTTCTTTGAATGGCTTGAATGCCATTTCTCTAACGTCTGTTAAATGATTTTTAGCTCTTTTAGTTCTTTATCTTGCTTTCTCTTACTGTTTTACTAGTAGTTTTTATAATCATTCCGTTTTTCCCTCTTAGGAACATTAATCCTGATGTTCTTTTTGAAGTACACAACTACAATATAACCACAGTAGAAAACTTTGAACATTTCATGAATAGAATAAGGTAAAATTTTATTTATGAATATTTTGCACAATGTCCAGCTCATTTTAAGTATTATTAGAAAATCTGTCAATGATTAATTAATTCACTGAGTTGGTAGGTTGATATATATTTTGTTTTTAAAATAGTTTAAAAAATTTTTGTGTAAGTTTTATGTATTGGGAGCTCAGTAAAAAACATATATTGTCCAAAAAACTATAGTAACAACAAAATAAAAAAAAAATCTAAAAAAGCCTGTTATGATATAACAAGGGGCCTCAATTATGAGTTCTGTGTTATAATTATACTTCTATCTGAAAGTGGTTTTCTGCAGACTAACACCATTGAAATATTCAATTGTATTCAGTTAACTTTATTACATTTACATTTGTAGTGAAACATGAGTAAAAGTCTGTGAAAGCTGATAGGGAAATGGTAACTTTTGTGAACAGATTTTATATTTCTCGCACCCTCTTACACCTTGTATAAGAAATACTGTAATATCATTGATATTATGTTCATAATAGTGAATACTCAATGTATACTGGGTCTTTAATATTAAATGCTATGTTATAATTATACTCAAACATTTACTGAAAGACTAAATGTATTGACTGAACAAATAAAGTCTAATTAGAGTGTATTTTGTGTCCAGATTTTTTTCAAATAAAATTTATTTTCTTTGCCTAGTAATGGTGGATTAGAAGAAGGAAAACCTGTTGACCTAGTTCTTAGCTGTGTGGACAATTTTGAAGCTCGAATGACAATAAATACAGTGAGTATTCCTATTGTATAATGTGTTATATTCATGGATTTATCTATTTTCCTGTATATTCTGTCAGTATATATTCCGCATTCTGAAAATAGTTCTGCATTTAAACCCTTTGATAATGTGTTTTGTTTGTTTTTAATGTTCTCTCATCCTGTTTTTGAAATTTATTCTAATGTGACCTATCTAGCCTTGTTGGTGTGGCATATATTTCAGTATCCTACTCTCTCTTATGCCAATAGAGCAAACTAAAACAGCAGATAATTCCGATGTAAAATTTTTAAAATGAATGAATATCTTATAATACTGTTTTATTCTTGGTCGGCATTGGTTTTTACTTTTGTTGATTTATTTTAAGTAAATGTATAAATGTGTATAAATTGCCTACACACATGATTTCTCAAAACTAAAACTGGATTCTTTTTCTTTTGAATTACTGTGTTTTCAACTTTGCAAATGACATTTTGCATTTTTTTGTTGCTGAAATTATTTTAGAAAAATGAAGTTTTACATTAATCTAATAAGAAATCCAATAAACTATGGTTCAATTTAATTAGATATTTATATTGACTGCTTACCTGAATGCTATCAGTTTCTTTTTTAAGGAGAGTGGCGATTGCTAAGGAATTCCATTATTTACAACTTTCTTCTTTGTTTCTGAAAATTAATTTTTAAAAACCCTTTGTAATTCATTTAGTTAAATCCAGTTTTTCATGAAAAGAGCTTATGGTAAATTACTTCTTGCTTTTTTATGTTCTTTCTTGTGTTTTCACCTATTTCTATTAAGGCGTGTAATGAGCTTGGACAAACATGGATGGAGTCTGGGGTCAGTGAAAATGCAGTTTCAGGGCATATACAGCTCATAATTCCTGGAGAATCTGCTTGTTTTGCGGTATGCATGATTCATTTTGGGTTATTATTTTTCACTGTTAAGTACTGGAGTTCCTAGGGGCATTGAAAATGTTTACAATTCGAAGAAAAGACCAAACTTTAAATTTGATGGAATATTATTTGGAATAACTTATAGTTTTTTCCCTTTCTTTTGAAATATATTTTCTTTTATTCTTTTTCATGTAGTGTGCTCCACCGCTTGTAGTTGCTGCAAATATTGATGAGAAGACACTGAAACGAGAAGGTGTTTGTGCAGCCAGTCTTCCTACCACTATGGGAGTGGTTGCTGGTATCTTGGTACAAAATGTGTTAAAGTGAGTGAAGGATAATTTTTCTGAATAGTCTTGTTTGCTTTTGACAAACATTTCAAATATTGGAATGACTAGCTAAGTATTTAATTTGTTTTTTAAATTTAGTTTTAAATTCATATATTTAAAAATTTTATATATGTATAATATGTGTATACTTTTATATATAAATATATTTAAATATATATTAGTTAATATTACATATGTCAACACACACATATTTGTGTTACTCTCCATTTGGCATAGTTCTTGTTAAATGGTACAGTGGTACTGGTATATTTATTTATGAAGCATTAACCAAATGATTTAAATTTCTTCACATCTGGCTAAAGGGTGAAGACCCATAAACACACTAGCTTCCACTATCTTGGTTTAACATTTCTAAAAATAATATGAATGTGATTAAACATTAACTAGGGTAATATCTCTGCTATCCGTAAACAGATACCCGGCAACCGCACCATCTAAACTATAACTAATAAAGACAAACGTTTCTTTGAAGCTAAAATTAATGTCATAGAGGGTTTTTTTTTTGTTTTTTTTTGTTTTTTTACGGTACGCGGGCATCTCACTGTTGTGGCCTCTCCCGTTGCGGAGCACAGGCTCCGGACGCACTGCTCCGTGGCATGTGGGATCTTCCCGGACGGGCACGAACTCGTGTCCCCTGCATCAGCAGGTGGGCTCTCAACCACTGCACCACCAGGGAAGCCCTGTCATAGAGTTTTTGAACCAACTCATACTATATGAAAAGCAGAACTGCTTTAGTTGTGCCTTAACTCAGGCCATTTTTCCCCCTCACTTTACAATGTTAATAAGCTTAGTTATGTTTCTTAAGCATCCAATATAATAAGAACAAATTGCAACATGTTACAGGGAGGCACTCTAATATCATTTATCAGCCATCAGCAAAGAAATACCAGCATACATAAGAACTCTCAAGGCAACTGTCTAGGGCTGTTTCAGATGAGAAAAATAGCCTGTCAGATTTCAGTAGGTCTTAATCTAAACACAACATTTTACAGTATGTTATGAAGGGAAAAAAAAATCATGGCTACAAAGTATTCTCTTACCAATGTGTCATATCTAGCCAGCCCTCTATTGATGGACATTTAGGCTACTTACAGATGTTTTTGCTATTATTAACAGTGCTGCAAAAAGCATCTTTGTAGAGTAGATTTTTGTACAGTGTGAATTTTTAGAAGTGGAATTTGAATTTCTAAGTTTATGCAATACTTACTTTGACAGATATTACTAAATTTCTCCTTCAAAATGATGGTACATTTCCATGACAGTGTGGGAGTACCTGGTTTGTCCACATCTTTGGTAACATTGGGTATCATTAAACTTTTTTTTTTGAAGTATAGTTAATTTACAGTGTTGTGTTAGTTTCAAGTGTACAGCAAAGTGATATATATTCTTTTTCAGATTCTTTTCCATTATAGGTTATTACAAGATACTAAGTATAGTTCCCTGTGCTATACATTAGGTCCTTGTTGTTAACCTGTTTTATATACAGTAGTGTGTATATCCCAAACTCCTAACTTATCCTTCTCCCTCCTCTCCCCCTTCCCTCTATCCCCTTTGTTTTCTATGTCTGAGTCTGTTTATATTTTGTAAATAAGTTCATTTGTATCAATTTTTTAGATTCCACATATAAGTGATATCATATGATATTTGTCTTTCTGTCTGACTTACTTCACTTAGTCTGATAATCTCTAGGTCCATCCATGTTGCTGCAAATGGCATTATTTCATTCTTTTTTATGGCTGAGTAATATTCCATTGTATATATATACCACACCTTTATCCATTCATCTTTTGATGGACAAGGTTGCTTCCATGTCTTGGCTATTGTAAATAGTGCTGCTGTGAACATTGGGGTGCATGTATCTTTTTGAATTAGAGTTTTCTCTGGATAGATGCCCAGGAGTGGGATTGCTGCATCATATGATAACTCTATTTTTAGTTTTTTAAAGAACTTCTGTTCTGCATAGTGGCTGCACCAATATACATTCTCACCAACAGTGTAGGAGGGGTCCTTTTTCTCCACACCCTCTCCAGCATTTATTGTTTGTAGACTTTTTGATGAAGGCCATTCTGACCAGTGTGACGTGATACCTTATTGTAGTTTTGATTTGCATTTCTCTAATGATTAATGATGTTGAGCATTTTTTCATGTGCCTATTGGCCATCTGCATGTCTTCTTTGGAGAAATGTCTGTTTAGGTCTTCTGCCCATTTTTTGATTGGGTTGTTTGTTTTTTTGATATTGAGCTATATGAGCTGTTTGTATATTAGGAAATTAATCCCTTGTTGGTAGCATTGTTTGCAAATATTTTCTCCCAGTCCGTAGGTTGTTTTTTAATTTTTTTTATGGTTTCCTTCACTGTGCAAAAGCTTTTAAGTTTAATTAGGTCCCATTTGTTTTTGTTTTTATTTCCATCACTCTAGGAGACAGATCCAAAAAAATATTTCTGTGATTTATGTCAAAGAGTGTTCTGCTTATGTTTTTCTCTAGGAGTTTTATAGTACCCAGTTTTACATTTAGGTCTTTAATCCATTTTGAGTTTATTTTTGTATATGGTGTTAGAGTCATCAAACTCTTTTATCTTTGTCAATTTGATAGGTGAAAAATGGGTATCTCATTTTAATTTCCAGTTGTGAAAAGGGTTGAGCACTTATATTTTTCTGTGAATTGTCTTCTCACATCCTTTGCTCAGTTTTTTTGTCTTGTTGTATATTAAGAACATGCATTCGCAGATTTTTTCCTTTTGTTGTTTATCTTTTGTACATGATTTTTCAACTTTTCTATAAGCTTCTAAAAGGAATCAGATTTGGCTGGAAGGGAGCACAGGGAGCTTTATGGCATACTGGAAATGCACTATACAGTCTGCCCACCATTTCCTTGGGTTCTGCATTTGTGGATTCAACCAACTGTGGATCGAAAATATTAAAAAAAAAAAAAATTCCGGAAAGTTCCAAAAGCAAAACTTGAATTTGCCACAAGCTTCCAACTATCTATATAGCATCTGCATTGTATTTACAACTATTTACATAGCATTTACATTGTATTAGGTATTATAAGTAATCTAGAGATGATTTAAAATATATGGGAGGATGTGCACAGTTTATATGCAAATACTATACCACTTCATATAAGGGGCTTAATTTTGGTATCCTGTGGGTGGGGGGTGTTCTGGAACCAATCTCCCATAGATACTGAGTGCCAACTATATTTTGATCTGGTAGTGAATATTACATGGGTGAATACTTCTGTAACATTTTATTGAGATTTAATACAAATTTAAGATTGTAAACTTTGCAGCAAGTTATATATAAAAAACTTAAAAAAATTAGATTTAGTACCATATCTCAGAGATTTTTAAGATACATTTCTGCCACATAACTTCTGTGAAATTAATATGCTTCTTAAAGTTGTTGACATGTCATAGTTTAATTGGCAGCATTTTATCTTTATTACATGTTCAAAAAATAATAGAGCATTCTATGGTTGATGAAATAGAGTAGCCTTTCTTCACTGCATTCATTCAACAAAATCTACTATAAGCCAGGCCCTGTAAACAAGATAAGAAATTTGTTTTCTGGGTTGCTTGTTACAAAAATCATTACCTTCTTTAAAGTCATTTTTTAAAAAGTCAGTTACTTTGTTTCTAATACTATTATGGTTTTATTTCTTTAGTTAAGTCTACTTTGATTTGTTTTTCTAGGTTTCTGTTAAATTTTGGTACTGTTAGTTTTTACCTTGGATACAATGCAATGCAGGATTTTTTCCCTACTATGTCCATGAAGCCAAATCCTCAGTGTGATGACAGAAATTGTAGGAAGCAACAGGAAGAATATAAGGTATATGTCAGTGTGTCACAATGCATGAGAGATCATATTGCATAGGACAATAACTTAAAAAAGAAGAAAAAATTATTTAGATTTGGAATACAAGGTAAATGGATTCTGGATTTTAAAAGGTTTAATTTATTCACCATGCTTTAACATGAAAATTCTGTTCAAAGTCCTTTCTTGCTTTTGGTAAGATAAAAAACCTGTCTGAATTCATTAAAAAAATTTTTTTTTTAATTTTAATTTTTTTAAACTAAAATATACTTGATGTATTGATACAATATTATGTTAGTTTCAGGTGTACCACATAGTGATTTGACATTTGCATACATTATGAAATAAGCACCATGAAAAGTCCAGTTATCATCAGTCCCCATACAAAGTTATTACAATATTATTAACCATATTCCTAATGCTATAAATTTTATCCATGACTTATTTATTATATAATTATAGGTTTATACTTCTTTATCCCCTTCACCTATTTCACTCCCCACCTCCCCTATGGCAACATCATTTGTTTTCTGTATCTGTGAGTCTCTTTTAATTTTGTTTTGTTTTTAGATCCCACATTTAAGTGAGATTATATGGTATTTGTCTGACTTATTTCATTTAGCATAATACCTTCTAGTTCCATCCATGTTGTCGCAAATAGTAAAGATTCTTTTTTATGGCTGAATAATATTCCACTGTATATATGTACCACATTTTCTTTACCCATTTATCTGTTGATGGACATTTAGGTTGCTTCCATGCCTTGGCTGTTGTAAATAGTGCTGCAGTGAACATTGGAGTGCATATATCTTTTTTTTGTTTTGTTTCGTTTTTTTTGTTTTTTGTGGTATGCGGGGCTCCGGATACGCAGGCTCAGCGGCCATGGCTCACGGGCCTAGCCGCTCTGCGGCATGTGGAATCCTCCCAGACCGGGGCAAGAACCCGTGTCCCCCGCATCGGCAGGTGGACTCTCAACCACGGCGCCACCAGGGAAGCCCGCATATATCTTTTGAGTTAGTGTTTTTGTTTTCTTAAAAAAAATACCCAGAAGTGAAATTGCTGGATCATATGGTAGTTGTATTTTTAATTTTCTGAGGCACCTCCATACTGTTTAGTGGCTGCAACAATTTACAATCCCAGCAACAGTGCACAAGGTTTCCCTTTTCTCCATATCCTCGCCAACACTTGTTATCTTTTTGATAATAGTCATTCTGACAGGTGTTACCTCATTTTGGTTTTGATTTGCATTTCCCTGATGATTAGTGATGTGTCTGTTAACTATTTGTATGTCTTCCTTAGAAAAAAGCCTATCTCAATTCTTGGTTCTGATCAATTCTGACTGATGCTTCAGAGAACTGAAAATGAGTAAAAACACTGATACTGTTTGATTTCTACAGAAAAAGGTAGCAACACTGCCCACACAGGAGGTTATTCAAGAAGAGGAAGAAATAATACATGACGACAATGAGTGGGGTAAGAATTGTTTCATAAATTGAAATGGCAGCATAAAACAATCTTTTATGGGAGGGAAATTGATTATAATTAAGATATACAAGTTTTTTTTCGTTTCTTTTGTTTTTTTGCGGTATGCGGGCCTCTCACTGTTGTGGCCTCTCCCGCTGTGGAGCACAGGCTCTGGATGCGCAGGCTCAGCGGCCATGGCTCACGGACCCAGCCGCTCCGCGGCACATGGGATCCTCCTGGACCGGGGCACAAACCCACGTCCCCTGCATCGGCAGGTGGACTCCCAACCACTGTGCCACCAGGGAAGCCTGATATACAAGTTTTGAATGATTATTGCTCATTAAGTTCCTTAAAAACTGTTTTAAGATCAAGTTTAACCTTACAGGTATTGAGTTGGTATCTGAGGTTTCAGAAGAGGAACTGAAAAATTCTTCAGGTACAATTCCTGACTTACCTGAAGGAATTACAGTGGCATATACAGTCCCCCAAAAGGTACATCTAAAATCTGTTTACCATAAGTGAATAGAAAATTTCTATTTATTTTTTTTCATCTTCAACCTATTTTATAATGCCAATGCAGTATTTCCTATTTTAGGTGTTTTACATTATAGGCATTAAGATTTGTGAAAGAGAGAGTTATTCAGTGTTAATATGGAAATACAGGCACAGCACAGTTTACACTGTTTTGAAAACATAGATGTAAAATAGTTTTGCTCACTCATTTGTGGATCAAGTGAAATAGATTTTGATTAAATGACAATACCTTTTTTTGTATATTGATAAGTTATAGCTACAATATCATTTAAAAATAACACTTCTGTAGAGATCTCAAGAACACTGTAGTAATTTCAACTGCTTGTCTCTCCTAAAAATTAGAAGGCATATTTATTAAAGAAATTTTACTTTGTAAACTTGTTGAACATGGTTAAGGCTTACTGATTATATGTTCCTAAGCATTAAGAATTTTATTTAACTGGTTATTTTTTCACCATGTTTCCCTCATTTATGGATAGCAAGAAGATTCTGTACCTGAAGTAACAGTGGAAGATTCTGGTGAAAGCTTGGAAGACCTCATGGCCAAGATGAAGAACATGTAAATAATGGACTGGCCTGTATTTTATTTCCTGTGTCTAAACTTGTTCCCTAGCAATTAAAAAGAAAATCATTTAAAACTGAGAAAACTTAGGGCAACATCATTTGATGTATAATCTTCACTGAATTGTTATACTGTTTAAAAATGCTGTGACTATTGCTTGTTACTCCCCCCCACCTTCAACTAAATCAGAAACTCTCCTAAAACTCATGTTTCATTCTAGTAAGAAAACTTCAAAGGATTATTGCAGGCAGTTATAAATCTTATTTAAAACTTAGCCATTGAACACGGGCTTCCCTGGTGGCGCAGTGCTTGAGAGTCCGCCTGCCCTTGCAGGAGACGCGGGTTCGTGCCCCGTTTCGGGAGGATCCCACATGCCGCGGAGCGGCTGGGCCCGTGGGCCATGGCCGCTGAGCCTGCGCGTCCGGAGCCTGTGCTCCGCAAATGGGAGAGGCCGCAACAGTGAGAGGCCCGCATAACGCAAGAAAAAAAAAAAAAAAAAAAAAAAAAAAAAAAAAAAAAAAAAAAAAAAAACTTAGCCATTGAACTGTTTTGGCCTTTTGGGAGGGGTGGGAAGAAAGGACCAATATGATTTGCCTGAGGCCATGGACAAGAGAATAGTGTGTGATCAAATATAGGGAAAGGACAAGAGGTACAACCTATTGATTAGAGCCAGCAAGCATCTACTCATTGTGTTTGGAATTGCTCTCTACAGGAAAACTGCCCACTACTACTAGCTTGATCAAAAATGAATTTCAAATAGTAAACCTATAAAATAAAAACATCCTTTCAAATGTTTCCTGATGAAACACAAGCTGAAATACAGTCAATGGAAAAGTTTGTAAACCTCTGAATTATATATTCAAAACAAGACAGAGGCAAATAAGAGGAAGCTTTCTTCATGGATCGACAGATAAAGATATTTTCAGGATGTACAAATTATATTTCTGCACTGATTAAGAAAAAGCATATCATCTGTGGAACATATATCTGAGTCAGTATGCTTTACTGAGGAGCAAAAGATAAATTTAGGCTAAGATCATCTAAATTATACCCATCATATGGGCTACCTTCTAATACTTTATTTAAATTTGATTCCGTGGGTAATTAGATATTGGCAAAGGTTTGTCCTGGATAACAGACAATAAAAGAGGTCTAAATTCCCTCTGCAATGACTGACATGTATTTTCTTCACAGGGAAGAGTATATTTTCCCTGATTGTGACAACTAAATCGTAATTTGATAAACTGGTTTTCTCTGGATTTTGCATACAAATAATGAAGGCTTAGAGAACCTTGTTTGAAATAAATTCCTAATGGTTTGGAGACTAATAAAGACACATGCATGTGTAACCATTATCTGTAGGCTGGTACTATGCTAGTCTCCTATTTTGATGAATTTTTTGCTCTGAAAAGATATAAATGTCTAAATTCTATCTCTAGGAGGAAAATGTCATTAAAAAATTAAAAGTGCATTTCCCACTTGTAAAGTAAAATTCTAAAAATAATTTCAGAAAGCCCCAAATATCAAATATGTTTAATATATTAGCTCTGAGATTTTAACATACTGCAATTCTTATGTTTAGAGTGATGTCAGGAAAGTATGGGGATAGTTTTTCTGGCCTTGAAACATATTTACATTGCCTTAGTAGGTCATTTGTTGTTGTTTAAAATTTTAGTGTAGTCATCTGTAAAATAACTTTTCTAGTTCCTAGAGATGCTTTGAATTTCAAAAAAGAAATGCAGTCTTTCTAAGTCCCATTCCTTTGGTATACTAATTTGGTACCTCTGGTACACTAATTTGGTAAGGCTTTTACTTATAAGTTTATATAGTTTGATAAATAGCTAGAACCTACTATCCTTTTTTAAAAAAATTTTTATTGGAGTATAGTTGATTTACAATATGTGTTAGTTTCAGGTGTACACAAATTGAAACAGTTATACATATACATATTTAGAACCTGCTATCTTCTAAAGACCTTTTTTCTGTTCTTAATTTGGCACTGTACCCTGCTGGTGTCTTATACTGTACCAAATCTTATCTAATTTTTTTTGTCTTATCTCTTCCATTAAAGTTATTATTTTAGCAGAAAAAATCTGGTAACAAGTATCTTTTGTAACGTAGAGAGCTCTCTTGACAATCTGTATGCCATGAAAACTTGTATATGTAGGCAGCTATGAAAAATTAATCATCACTGGATTTTACATTACTAAATAAACCCATAGTGCTTGACCAGATTTATAACACTGTTGTTTCTAGTGTGAAAGATGGAAACACTCCCAAAATTGCCTTAGCACAAAGGCTGTAAATTACAGTAAAACAAACAATATGTTCAACTTTAATCCCTTTTTAATTGTTAGTGGGAAGTTAATTTGTGGTACTACTCAAATGCTTTATGTAAATAGTAAAAAAAAAAATAACGTAGTATGGGTTTCTTTATGTAAAATTACTCCCTGAATACCTATAAACACACTGACCAACCCAAAAAGGTAAAACATTTAACAATATTAATGAAGCTTTTACCACCCCATCACATGTTTTTTTAATATTTTTCTTTCTGTAAAGTATTAATGAATGAAAATTAATTATAACTACCATAGTTTGGAGCCTACCAATTCTGATTTATAAATGTCTGAAAGCTACATTTTTCATTGTGAAAGGTGTATATTAATGTGCACATAATTATCCTATTTGAGTACCTCAAATACAAAGAAATGACTGTCTCAGCTATTTTTATCTTTTTAAGTAGGCATTCTACATGAAAACATTTGAATTGATAGTATAATTAGTAAGATCAAAATATAGTCCTTTTTTTAAAATATAGTCTTAAATTATATTTAAACTTAAACCTTTTGTAGTCATCATCCCCCAACAAAATTACCATAAAGTCACTTTGAATAATATAAGTTTTCAATTTTTGTATATTTTTCAAGTCCAAATTTTATAGGAACAAAGAAAAAAAATGCATATTATTCTTTTGCTAGTTTTTCCTTTTTTCAGGGTTCTTTTAAAATATTAATCTCAGACTATTCCCTAAAGCTTAAGGCATTTAAATTTAATATATTACTTATAGTGTGTTAAATTTCTTATACCACTAAATAATCAAATTTTAAACTCTAAAAGATTAATTCTAAAATCAATGTCTGGTATATCTGAATTCAATTACTTTGTGCCTTTCACAGCTGGTATATTTGTGAATTCAATTACTTTGTGCCTTTCACAGCTGGCCATAACCACAAAGATGTGTTATGGTTATATTTATCTTCTTTTTTCCCTCTTGAATTTCTCCCAGAAGGGGGAAGAATGATGATGCTCATTTTGTAAGATCCTACCTTTCTTTTAAGTCACCACTCTAGTGCCTTAGAATTAGACCACTGTTTCTCAAACATATGTGCATATGAATCTGGGGAGAGGCTGTCTGAATTAATTAGCTCCCAGGTGGCACTGATGATCCTGGTTCACAGACCACCTTGAGTAGCCAAGCCTTAGAGAACATTAACCAGAATCCTACGGAGTCACTGAAGCTCAAGTTGAGCAAACTAATCAGTGAATACTGACAACATTCTAGTCTTTTTTGTAATGTTCAACATTTTTCTTAATTATATAAATATAATCCTCTTGTATTATTATATTATAAAAAAAGACACATTTTTCATTTTCACCAAGAACTTTATTGAACGTATTCACCCTTTTGTTCTACTACCTTCTGCCATTTTTCAGGCAACTTCATAATTCCATCTTCCCAAAACTTTTTATGTTTTTGAGGAAAGAACTGTTCCAGGTGCCTTCTGCAGTCTTCCAGGGAATTGAAAATTTTTCCATTACGAGAATTTTGTAAAGACAAATAAATGGAAATCCGAAGGTGCAATCAATGTCTGGCGAATATGGTGGATGAATCAGAACTTCCCAGCCAAGCTATAACAGTTTTTGCCTGGTCATCAAAGAAACATGCAGTCTTGCATTATTCTGATGGAAGATAATGTGTTTTCTGTTGACTAATTCTGGAAGCTTTTGATGGAGTGCTGCTTTCAGTTGGTCTAACTGGGAGCAGTACTTGTTGGAATTACTTGTTTGATTTTCTGGAAGGAGCTCATAATAGAGAACTCCCTTCCAATCCCACCATGTACACAACATCACCTTCTTTGGATGAAGATTGGCCTTTGGTTTGGTTGGTGGTGGTTCATTTCACTTGCCCCACAATCTCTTCCATTCCACATTATTGTACAGTATCCACTTTTCATTGCCTGTCACAATTTGTTTTAAAAATGGAAAGTTTTCATTATGTTTAAGTAGAGAATCACATGCAAAAATATGGTCAAGAAGGTTTTTTTCACTTATGTGGAACCTAAACATCAAAGCAATTAACATAACCAAGCTGGTGCAAATGACTTTCAGTGCTTGATTTGGATATTTTGAGTATATCGGCTATCTCCCACATGGTATAATGTGATTGGTTGTTCTCAGTTAATGTCTCGATTTGATCCCTATCAACTTCAACTGGTCTACCCAACCGTGGAGCATAGTCCACCAAGAAATCTCCAGCATGAAACTTTGCAAATTACTTTGACACGTTCAGACAGTCACAGCACCTTCTCCATACACTGCACAAATCCTTTTTGCGTTTTGGCTGCGTTTTTACCTTTCTTGAAATAATAAAGCATAATATGCTGAAAATGTTGCTTTTCTTCCATCTTCAATATTAAAATGGCTACACAAAAATTCACCAATTTTGGTAAATCTATTTTAAAATGCACACTGATATGATAGCTGTCACATACAATGTAACAACATTGTTACGAATGAAGTTAAAGACACCTAAGTGCTATTAGATTCATCTTATGGAAAAAAACGAATGAAACTTGGCCAACCCAATATAAACTGGAGTGGGAAAAAGAACTTGAAATTCCACTTTTATTCTAAAACAGTGAAATACGGTTATTACATCTTTCACCTTTACAATTAATACATGTTGGAATCTTACAAGTATTAAAATTGAAGATTTTACTTATATATAAATACATAAATGGTACAAAACATTATCCCAAATTGGCAATATTTATAAAATCTATAAAAATATTTAATTTTCAGTATAAAATGGCCAAGTAATTTGAGTCCAAGATAAATGAAGACATAGGTTCAGGCCATTTAAGAAAGAAGGTCATGTCCATATTTTGGGAAAGGTCAAAGAATGCCAAAGAGCTTGACCTGTTACTACCTTAATGACTTTAGATTGTGCAGGTACATTCTACACAGTAAAAACAATATACAGTGTAGAGAGCACGGAAAGCAGAGGGCTTGGCCCAATCTGCTGAATGAAAAGGTAGAATAAAAAAAATGTAGCAGTCAGAGATTCCTATTATTAGTTCGTTTTACAGAAGACAATTCATACTTTCCGTCAACATTATCCCTTTACTCCTTGAAACTTTTCTTTGAGGTAGAGAACTGGGCCAGACCGCTGCTAAAAAGCAAGATGAGGAATGATGATGCTAAAGTAACTTGAGAGAGGAGAAGAATCACGGAATTCTTGAACTGCTTGTCTTGGCTGCTTTGCCAGCTCTTGTAGAACAGAGACCAGTCTACTCTCCATGATCAACTCTTCATGTCATCTTAGGATTCTAATGTTTCTACATCCTTGGTTCCCACACAACAGGAAAATTAATTCTTTTAAAGAACTAAAATCAAAACAATCGACTCAAACTTCAATGTAGTCCAATACAATTTCATACAAATATCAGTTAAATCACACAAAAATAAGTTTTCTTAAAAACTATTTTTATAAGTTTTAAATTCTAATGTTCCAAATGTTTCTTAATTATTTTATCCTAAGTTGCATTTGCAGTGAATTGCAGTTGCTGCTATTACCTTTGTCCTTGATGAAGGAAAACATTAGGAGAATGGGTTGTTTTTAAGCTAACCATATCTCCACTTGATGAATGTCGGGAAGGAGCTTTTCCACCCAAAAGAGACGTTTCTGCTTCTTTTATTTCCATTGCCCTTCTGTATAGTTCAGCAGCTTTTTCGAAATCCCCTTCTTCATAGCTTTGAGACAAAATTCTCAAAATGAGATTATAACCTTTTAACAATTTTAGATGATCTTATAGGATACAGAAAAACAAGTTGTTAATAATTGCTCATTTTTTCCAGTGCATTCATTCAGGCAGACCAATAAAACAGAATACCCAAACTCTTCTCCTTTCTGTCTTGTGCTGTTAAGTGTCTCATAGGGGCACCATTAAGACTATATTGTAATGGATGCAGTGAAACTGCTAAGGGAAGTTAGCATCCTGAGATAAACATAACGCAAAAATCAACATGTACTTAATGGTAAATCAGCTTTGAGGACAGCAAATTGCCCAGATTACCCTAGAGCCAGTTAGCTGTAAATGTAAACCGTCCTTCTCTATTTGCCGTGATACACTCCTCTACAAAATTGATCATGTCACCTTCATTCCACTCTGGATATTACTTCAGTATCTCTTGAACTATATAGATCAACCCAAAACAACCCCTCCCACTACAAGAAAAAGCATATCAGCAATAAATATTTTATGGTGTTCTATGATGAATCAAAGATGTTTTAAAAGGGATTTTGGCTGCCTGAGGAAAGTGAAAAATTCTTACCTAAGCACAGCTAAATTTTTTAATGTTTCTCCAACTCGAGGATGCATCCGACCCAGGCTGTTCTCATAAATCTTTAATGCTCTTTCATATAATGGCAAGGCCTCAATGTGTTTTTTCTTATTAAAAAAGAAAGAATGGACACTTGAACACACTGCATTTCTGAAATTACTATTAAGGTATTCTAGACTAAGCTGACCTACTTGGGTAATAAGCACTTTTAAAAAGTTAATATCCTCCTACAAGATGTGGATAAACAGATTAATTTAGGAATAATAATGGGAGAAGCAGTATAATAAAAAGTCAGAAACTTCAGTTTTAGACTCGGCTTGGTAACCAATGACATTAATCCAATTATATAAGCACAAACCTGTTTTTGCCCACAGGGTACCATACCTGTTTTTCACTCATCACAGGCAAATGATAGAGCTTAAGAACAATATTAGATATAGAGATGTAGGGAGTCTCCAGAATTTAAAAAAACTAAGCCTATGCAATGAACTAAACACTCAGTGTTTTACACTAAGAGGAAGGGACTATCTTACAAATATAACTTCAATAATTTCTCAAGTATTAAAGGAAACATTAGTAGATAACCTTAAATGTCCTTTAATTATTTTTACTGTGCCAGATCTAATACATGTTTACCTATATTTCATACGTTAAAACCATTCACTTATAAAGAATTACAGTGTGGGAACTTACCATTTGGCTATAAAGAACAGCTAAGTTCACCAAGGCAGTAGCTACACTAGGGTGCTTTGGGCCAAAGGATTTCTGCCGGATTTCAACAGCCAGCTCATACAAAGGTACAGCTTTGTCAAGTTTCCCCTAAAAAACAAAAGTGAAATCTAACAAAAATATTAAAGCAATAAATACTTTCTGATCAGAGCTTGTTCCATAAATACAATTTTCTATTAAAAAGTAATCTTGAGGAAAAAAGTTCAGAAGCATTTCCTCCCAGTTTAATGGTTAAGTTTCTAGATAACTAACATCAAATAGAACATGTAAGTACAGCTACACTGAATATGGAAACATTTTCTTTGATAACTCAGAAAGTCCTTTAGGATCATCCATTATTACTATTTCTGATGAAGTAAAAAGTATGTTTGCTACTATACATAATTTAGAGATAGCTTCAAAATAAAAACTTGTTTTCCACCAAATCCTTTCCAGATTATTCTTCCTTTTTTACTTGAAAGTTAGGCAGAAGTAGTAACTATGGGTCCTTCATACTAAAACATCAACTTCAGTACCAGGAGGACCAGCAAGGTTCCCACAAACAAAGTCTAAATACAGTCTAACTCTGTAACTGTGCTAAATGAAAGCAGACTTCTCTGCTTCTCTTTCTTCTCTTTTTTTTTTTTTTTCTTTTTGAGAACAGCTATAAACACTCCAAATATCACTCAGGCTAGAACCCTATGGTAAAGAACGGTTACATTTAATTGCAAGCAAAGAAAAGAAAGAATGAAATTAAAATGGTCATTTAACCAGCTACAAGAGACTCCTCCTTCAGCCCTAACATTTGGGTGATTCATTATGTTTCTGGTAGCTTAACACAGGAAACCTAATCCTGGTTGAATTTTAGAACTTCTGAAATGTAACAGAAGTATAAGTTCTAATTAGAGTGCTGACAAATGCATTTGCATTTAGAATGTATTTTTAAAAACTAAACCAGTTAAGTCTGAAATAATATTTTTATTTTTTAAAATTAATTTTTATTGGAGCATAATTGCTTTACAATGTTGTGTTAGTTTCTGCTGTACAGCAAAGTGAATCAGTTATACATATATCCCCTCTTTTTTAGACTTCCTTCCCATTTAGGTCACCACAGATCACTGAGTAGGGTTCCCTGTGCTAAACAGTAGGTTCTCATTAGTTACCTATTTTATACAGAGTAGTGTATATATGTCAATCCCAATCTCCCAATTTGTCCCACCCTCCCCTTCCCCCCTTGGTAACCATAAGTTTATTCTCTACATCTGTGCCTCTATTTCTGCTTTGCCAGTAAGTTCATCTGTACCATTTTTCTAGATTCCACATAAAAGCGGTATTATACGATATTTGTTTTTCTCTTTCCAACTTACTTCACTCTGTATGACAATCTCTAGGTCCATCCATATCTCTACAAATGGCACTATTTCATTCCTTTTTATGGCTGAGTAATATTCCATTGTATATATGTACCACATCTTCTTTACCCATTCCTCTGTCTATGGGCATTTAGGTTACTTCTGTGTCCTGGCTATTGTAAATAGTGCTGCAATGAACATCGGGGTGCATGCCTCCTTCTGAATTATGGTTTGCTCTGGAGATATGCCCAGGAGTGGGATTGCTGGGTCATATGGTAGTTGTCTTTTTAGTTTTTGAAGGAACCTCCATACTGTTCTCCATAGTGGCTGTATCAATTTACATTCCCACCAACAGTGCAAGAGGGTTCCCTTTCCTCCACACCCTCTCCAGCATTTGTTGTTTGTAGATTTTTTGATGATGGCCATTCTGACCTGTGTGAGGTGATGCCTCATTGTAGTTTTGATATGCATTTCTCTAATACTTAGTGATGTTGAGCATCTTTTCATGTGTTTGTTGGCCATCTGTATGTCTTCTTTGGAGAAATGTCTATTTAGGTCTTCTGTCCATTTGGATTGGGTTGTTTTTTTGTTATTGAGCTGCATGAGCTATCTGTATATTTTGGAGATTAATCCCTTGTCATTTGCTTTGCTTGCAAATATTTTCTCTCATTCTGAGGGTTGTCTTTTTGTTTTTTTTAATGGTTTCCTTTGCTGTGCAAAAGCTTTTAAGTTTAATCAGGTCCCATTTGCTTATTTTTGTTTTTATTTTCATTAATCTAGGAGGTGGATCATAAAAGATCTTGCTGCAATTTATGTCAAAGAATGTTCTGACTATGTTTTCCTCTAAGAGTTTTATAGTGTCTGGCCTTACATTTAGGTCTTTAATCCATTTTGAGTTTCTTTTTGTGTATGGTGTAAGGGAGTGTTCTAATTTCATTCTTTTACATGTAGCTGTCCAGTTTTCCCAGCACCACTTATTGAAGAGGCTGTCTTCTCCATTGTATATTCTTGCCTCCTTTGTCATAGATTAGGTGACCGTAGGTGTGTGCGTTTATCTCTGGGTTTTCTATTCTGTTCCATTGATCTATATTTCTGTTTTTGTGCCAGTATCATACGTCCTGATTACTGTAGCTTTGTAGTATAGTCTGAAGTCAGGGAGTCTTATTTCTCCAGCTCTGGTTTTCTTTCTCAAGATTGCTTTGGTTATTTGGGGTCCTTTGTGTCTCCATACAAATTGTAAAATTTTTTGTTCTAATTCTGTGAAAAATGCCATTGGTAATTTGATAGGGATTGCATTGAATCCATAGATTGCTTTGGATAGTATAGTCATTTTCACAATATTGATTCTTCCCATCCAAGTACATGGTATATCTCTCCATCTGTTTGTGTCGTCTTTGATGAAGTAATATTTTTAAATGTTCTACTCAGCTACTTGTTTAAAAATTAAATCACTATGATTTAAAAGCTCATAGGAATAATCTATCCATCAGAAGATAAATTATTTTGCTAATAGCAATTATGGCTTAATTGGTATATTATAAAACACATGTAGGCATGCCAAGGATTACTTACCATTTTCTTATACAAGACTGCAAGATGCTTCACTGTATAAGCCAAAGAAGGGTGATCAGGAGCTAATGCTCGTCTCCGAATGTCTAAGGCTCTTTCATAAAGTTCTTCTGCTTTATCATACTGTTTCTTTTCATTGCATAGAGCTGCCAGGTTATTCAAAGACTGGGCACAGTCAGGGTGATCTGGTCCTAGAACTCGCTCCCTCATCTCCAAGGAACGCTTCAGAAACTGGTCAGCTGTTCTATGAACAAAAGCCACAAATGGTTTAAACAATTTATTCTCTAGAAGTGAGAATCCCTAGCCATAGTTAGGTGGAGAACTGAAGCACTTTTATTCTTAAATCCAAGATAGTTAAAATGAAGGATTCAGCTCAAAATCCTCTCCCCCTCTTTCCCATCCCCTCATCTCTTCCTGCCCTTTTCCAAAAACTAGAAATGCTTTCCTAATTGTGTGAAAAGCCTCAAGTATCTGGACGATTGTCTCAATTCTCCACTTCACTTCTAAAAGACAAACTCATAAATAGTTTCCAAAACAAATTTTTATATCTTTAAAAATTACTAAGCCAAACTCAAAACATTTTGGTATTCTTTCTTTCTCCCTTTGTAGTACTAAATAATTTTTAATAAAAGAACTGTGAAGTGGGCTAAATATTTGTTGTGTTTTTCTGGTATCCAAAGTGTCAAATTTGTTATATTTTTCTGACATACAAAGAAGTTCAAAAACACCTCTTTGTCATAAATATTAATGTCTTTGTGAGTCTTTATGCTCAAATAAACTGAAGAATAAAACTAGCAGCCATCTACATTCTTTAGTCCCAAGTTTGTTCTTATGTGAGATCTTATGTACAATATCTACACAAACTCACTTTTCATAAACATATAAAACATACTAGGGAAGCTAGAGAATAACTTTTTAGTTACTAAAGAAACAATGTGAAAGGAAATAGTAGAGAAAATGTCATGGTCCTTGTTAAGTGTGGCCATGTTCATAACATATCATACATGAAATTTGACATGGTTTCTATCAATTTTTTCTAACTTAGCTTGATAGAAATGTAAAACAGCTTTGTATCTAAGAGACAAAATGGATACCTGTTTTCATTATTAACACCATGGTACTCACTCCAGGTTGTTCTGAAGATAGTAGAGCACACCCAGTTCATTGAGGGTCCGAGCATTGTCAGGTGTATCCTTACCTAACGTGAGCTCTTCTAACTGTAGGGCCCGTCTACGTAAAAGGGCAAATCCATACTGCAGCAAACACAAGAAATTCACAACAATCACCAAGTAAGTGCAATCTTTGATTCTGAAGCAATATACTAGGGTTCTGAAAAAATCCTTTCTCCTGTTTTTTCCCTTTAAAGTAGATTACAATTACTTTAAGTATCATACTGAATTAATCTAATGATTTATGAAAATATATATACTTCCATGTAGCATCACATTCTTAAATTCATTAAAAAACTATTTTGTGAAAATAATTATGAGATTATTTTAGCAAAATGAACTGAATCCCAAAGTGCTTCAAAAAGATTAGGAAACAGAATTAACATGCATATATTTATTAACCCTATTACTAAACATTTAAATATCGGGTACTTAAAATTGCACATAGCACTTGCAACTAGAAGACAAATAAGTCCTGGAGCTCAAATGTACAGCATAGCGAATATAAGCAAAAATACTGTATTAAAATCATCAAACTTGCTAAGAGACTAGATCTTAATCATTCCCACCACAAAAAAGAAATGATAATTATGTGATGTGATAGAGGTGTTAGCTAACGCTATGGTAATAATCATATTACAATATATAAATGCATCAGATAAGCATGTAGTACATCTTAAATTTACACAATGTTAGATGTCAAATATATTTCAATTTGAAAAACTGCACATAGCATTTTAAGTTAAAACAAACAAATATGCTATATTTAGATTTTATTAGCAGCTTAGATAAATGAAAAATTTTTTGCACTCAAGGGTAATAATTTCTTGGTATTTGAATCTAACATAAAATGTTTACTAAATTTCTTTTATTCTGTTTTCCAACCCTTTAAAGAACTGAAACAGCTTTTAAGTCCATCTTCTAAAATCTTAATTAACTTTAACTGAATAGTTCTACTTTTTAAAAATTAAAAAAAAAATTCCCCAGATTTATTGAGATATAATTGACATATAACATTGTGTAAGTTTAAAGGGTAAAACATGATATGTATGTAGTGTAAAACGATTACCACAATACATAGTTCCACTTTTTAAAAGTCTAATTTGTACTTCTCAGTGATACTAATATTTATATTATAAATTATAATACTAATTATAATTATAACTAAATTATAATTATAAATACTAACATTTATAATTATAAATTATAAATAAGAAAATGTTAATCAGTACTTCCGTAGAAGTCACTTTAAAATCTAAAGTTCTTAAATATGTGAGGTTTATGCATCTACATTGTGATATTCAGAGATGTTCTATTCCTTTTTGTTCAGAACACAACACAAAAGAAATCTGCATTACCAAGTTGCCTTTTCTCCTTGTAGCTTTCTGACGAATTTTAAAAGATTCTTTTCTAAAATGTTCAGCTTGTTCATATCTTAAAAAAAAAAAAAAGTCAAACGAAAGAAACATATGTCCAAAGTGTCATACTTCAGTGAAATGAAACCACCAGTGTAAAGTTTTTTTGGCTAATTAAATACAGCACTATTTCTAGAAGTGATAGTCATATGGAATTAAAAATCTTTAATAAAAACTTTCATAAAACAAAAGCTAACAAAACAAATCTAGTCCTCCAAGTAGCTGACATTTAACTGTTTTTAACTGATTAAACTCATTTTGAATCTCTAAAAGGTGATCTAACTAAATGAAAATCCAAAACTTTAGTTTGCTATATCAGCTTCCACACAGGTTATTTTTTTGTCAAATAGAAATGTGAAAATCACACAAAATCTGTGTGAAACAATACTTCTAGAAGTTAACAGAAAAAATTCCAATATGTATCACTTCTGACTGAGCAAAACAAATGATTTCACATAGAGGAAGAGATATCATTCGGAGGGCTTATTATACTAGGGATCAGCAAACTTCTGTAAAGGGCTAGATAGTAAACATTTTAGGCTTTGTGGGTCCCGTGGTCTCTGTTGCAAATACAAAACTGCTGTTGAAGCATGGAAGTGACCACAGATAATATGTAAATGAAAAAAATGTGGCTGTGTTACACTACAACTCTACGTCCCAAACAGGGGACCTTCTGGACTTGGCATGTGGGCGACAGTTTGCTGCCCCCTGTATTAGTAGTACACTCAATATTACAGAGTTAGCGAAGAAGCCCGGTTTCAAACCTAACTATATGACTCCAAAGTCCATGCTCTGTCCTTTGTACATCTTGAAGTAGAGATGAATCTTGTAGTTCTAACTTTTTGTTCACCCCCCAGACCAAGAATAATATTTGAACATGGTGGATGCGAAAGAATATAGGATAAGGAAAATATGGGATACGGAAAAATACACAGCCACAAAACAAAGCCTCCCACATAAGTACATTAAGAACTGTAACTCCCTGTCATAAAACCAGAGAATTACCAATTGAAATCTTACTTATTTTGTTTCTGGTACAAAGTTGCAAGTGCTTCAAGTTCACGAGCAATAAGTGGATGGTCCGCACCATAGGCATTTTCTGAGATTTCCAATGCCTGTTTATATAGTTGTTCAGCATTGCCAAACTTCTTCCACTGCACGTACACACTCGCTAGTTGGTGGAGGGACTGAGCTACTTGTGGGTGATCTGGATCTAAAGCTGTTTCTCGAATTTCTAGAGACCTCTGCAAAGGCACCACAGCCTGGGGGAAGAAAAAGGTTAAAAAGGCCAATTAAAGTGAGTGAAATGCTGTAAGATCTGATTAGCACAACAAATAAAAGCTGCAATAACTCCTAGGAAGGAGTGAAGAGTAAACATGAAAACCCACACAGTCTCTAACTCCCTGTTGAAGTTACCTGACTGAGAAGGCCTAGATCCTTGAGAAATCGCCCCAGGGTTTCATAAAGGTCAGCTAAGCAAATCATGCTCTCCTCGCCTTCACAATTTTTCTCATACTGCTTCAATGAATCAAAGTATTCTGCTGCCATCGTGCTTTTGTCTTTGCCAACAAACTGCCAGTAACTCAGCAACTCAGCAAAGTGTCCTCTGTTGCAACAAATAACAGTAATTTAATGAAAAAGAAACTTTAAACCCCACTACTGAGTGAAGATGCCATAATTCATATCAAGCTATTGATAGTTTATTAGTAAGCTAGTCCAGTGTAGTGAAGTAAGGGTGTAGACTGGAACTGCCATCTGAGTCCACAGCAGCCTAGCTGTGTGCTCTCTTACACCTCATCATCCTCATCTGCAGAAGAGGCACACCGACACCACCTGTCTCAGGTGTTACTGTAAGGAGATTATGGCCTGTAGCAAGTACTCCATAGTGTTGGCTGCTACCATTAATATCATTATGGTTACTCACCAATGGAAACCTATCATAACCCTGTTTAGACATTTCATGATATGCAGTCAACTGCTGAGTTCACCCCAAAATTATTTTAAATGATAGAAATCAGAACAGAAGAAACTAATGAAACACAGGCAAACTGTCAGAATACCTGCTTTGTATTTTCATCAAGGAATTGAATGATAAAAGTAAGCTTATTCATCTATTGATGGTATTAAGTAGGATGGGAGAGCTGGTAAACTAAAGTATGAATCTGATTTCAAATGAAATCATGAAAAACTGGGATGAGATCAGAAATAATCCATAAGGTGAAACAAAGAAATTTGAGAGAGTTCACTAAGAAGCAAAACAAATTATGCATCTAAATTATGAGAAGTGGGGACGAGGGGAAGATGGTGGAAGAGTAAGACACGGACATCACCTTCCTCCCCACAGATACACCAGAAATACATCTACACGTGGAACAACTCCTACAGAACACCTACTGAACGCTGGCAGAAGTCCTCAGACATCCCAAAAGGCAAGAAAGTCCCCACGTACCTCGGTAGGGCAAAAGAAAAAAGAATAAACAGAGACAAAAAGGATAGGGACGGGACCTGCACCAGTGGGAGGGAGGTGTGAAGGAGGAAAGATTTCCACACACTAGGAAGCCCCTTTGCGGGCGGAGACTGCGGGTGGCGGAGGGGGAAGCTTCGGATCCAAGGAGGAGAGCGCAGCAACAGGGGTGCGGAGGGCAAAGCGGAGAGATTCCCGCACAGAGGATCGGCGGCGACCGGCACTCACCAGCCCGAGAGGCTTGTCTGCTCAATCACTGGGGCAGGCGGGGCTGGGAGCTGAGGCTCGGGCTTCGGTCGGAGCGTAGGGAGAGGACTGGGGTTGGCGGCATGAACACAGCCTGCAGGGGTTAGTGCACCACGACTAGCCGGGAAGTGAGTCCGGGAAAAAGTCTGGAGCTGCCGAACAGGCAAGAGACTTTTTCTTCCCTCTTTGTTTCCTGGTGCGCGAGGAGAGGGGATTCAGAGCGCTGCTTAAAGGAGCTCCATAGACGGGCGTGAGCGGTGGCTACAAGCGCGGACCCCAGAGAGACGGGCATGAGACGCTAAGGCTGCTGCTGCCGACACCAAGAAGCCTGTGTGCGACCACAGGTCACTATCCACACCCCCCTTCCGGGGAGGCTGTGCAGCCCGCCACCGCCAGAGTTCCGGGATCCAGGGACAACTTCCCCGGGAGAACGCACAGCGCGCCTCAGGCTGGTGCAACATCCCACTGGCATCTGCCGCCACAGATTCGCCCCGCATCCGTAACCCTCCCTCCCCCAGGTCTGAGTGAGCCAGAGTCCCCGAAGCAGCTGCTCCTTTAACCCCGTCCTGTCTGAGTGAAGAACAGACGTCCTCCGGCGACTTACATGCAGAGGCGGGGCCAAATCCAAAGCTGAGCCCCTGGGAGCTGTGAGAACAAAGAAGAGAAAGGGAAATCTTTCCCAGCAGCCTCAGAAGCAGCGAATTAAATCTCCACCATCAACTTGATGTACCCTGCATCTGTGGAATACCTGAATAGACAATGAATCATCCCAAATTGAGGAGGTGGACTTTGAGAGCAAGATATATTATTATTTCCCCTTTTCCTCTTTTTGTGAGTGTGTATGCGTATATTTCTGTGTGAGATTTTGTCTGTATAGCTTTGCTTCCATGATTTGTCCTAGGGTTCTATCCGTCCGTTTTTTTTCTTTATTTAAAATAATTTTTTTATTAATATTTTTAATTTTAATAACTTTGTTATTTTGTCTTAATTTAATTTTATTTATCTTCTTTCTTTCTTTCCTTCCTTCCTTCCCTCCCTCCCTCGCTTCTTTCTTTCTTTCTCTCCCTCTCTCTCCCTCCCTCTCTCCCTCCCTCCCTCCGTCTCTCTTTCTCTCTCTCTCTCACTCTTTCTTTATTCTTTTTCTCCCTTTTATTCTGAGCGGTGTGGATGAAGGGCTCTTGGTGCTGCAGCCAGGAGTCAGTGCTGTGCCTCTGAGGTGGGAAAGCCAACCACAGGACACTGGTCCACAAGAGACTTCCCAGCTCCACATAATATCAAACGGCGAAAATCTCCCAGAGATATTCAACACCAGCACCCAGCTTCACTCAACGACCAGCAAGCTACAGTACAGGACACCCTATGCCAAACAACTAGCAAGACAGGAACACAACCCCACCCAGTAGCAGAGACGCTGCCTAAAATCATAATAAGGCCACAGATACCCCAAAACACACCACCAGATGTGGAACTGCTCACCAGAAAGACACGATCCAGCCTCATCCAACAGAACAAAGGCACTAGTCCCCTCCACCAGGAAGCCTACACAACCCACTGAACAAACCTTAGCCACTGGGGACGGACACCAAAAACAACGGGAACTACGAACCTGCAGCCTGCAAAAAGGAGAACCCAAACACAGTAAGATAAGCAAAATGAGAAGACAGAAAAACACACAGCAGATGAAGGAGCAAGATAAAAACCCACCAGACCTAACAAATCAAGAGGAAATAGGCAGTCTACCTGAAAAAGAGTTCAGAATAATGATAGTAAAGATGATCCAAAATCTTGGAAATAGAATAGACAAAATGCAAGAAACATTTAACAAGGACCTAGAAGAACTAAAGATGAAACAACCAATGATGAACACAATAAATGAAATTAAAAAATACTCTAGATGGGATCAATAGCAGAATAACTGAGGCAGAAGAACGGATAAGTGACCTGGAAGAAAAAATAGTGGAAATAACTACTGCAGAGCAGAATAAAGAAAAAAGAATGAAAAGAACTGAGGATAGTCTCAGAGACCTCTAGGACAACATTAAACGCATCAACATTCGAATTATAGGGGTTCCAGAAGAAGAAGAAAAGGAAGGGACTAAGAAAATTATTGAAGAGATTATAGTTGAAAACTTCCCTAATATGGGAAAGGAAATAGTCAAGCAAGTCCAGGAAGCACAGAGAGTCCCATACAGGATAAATTCAAGGAGAAATACGCCAAGACACATATTAATCAAACTGTCAAAAACTAAATACAAAGAAAGCATATTAAAAGCAGCAAGGGAAAAACAACAAATAACACACAAGGGAATCCCCATAAGGTTAACAGCTGATCTCTCAGCAGAAACTCTGCAAGCCAGAAGGGAGTGGCAGGACATACTGAAAGTGATGATGGAGAAAAACCTGCAACCAAGATTACTCTACCCAGCAAGGATCTCATTCAGATTTGATGGAGAAATTAAAACCTTAACAGACAAGCAAAAGCTGAGAGAGTACAGCACCACCAAACCAGCTTTACAACAAATGCTGAAGGAACTTCTCCAGGCAAGAAACACAAGAGAAGGAAAAGACCTAAAATAACAAACGCAAAACAATTAAGTAAATAGGAACAGGAACATACATATCGATAATTACCTTAAATGTAAATGGACTAAATGCTCCCACCAAAAGACACAGACTGGCTGAATGGATACAAATACAAGACCCATATATATGTGGCCTACAAGAGACCCACTTCAGACCTAGAGACACATACAGACTGAAAGTAAGGGGATGGAAAAAGATATTCCATGCAAATGCAAAACAAAAGAAAGCTGGAGCAGCAATCCTCATATCAGACAAAATAGACTTTAAAATAGAGACTATTAGAAGAGACAAAGAAGGACACTACAAAATGATCAAGGGATCGATTCAAGAAGAAGATATAACAATTGTAAATATTTATGCACCCAACATAGGCAATACATAATACATAAGGCAAACACTAACAGCCATAAAAGGGGAAATGGACACTAACACATTCATAGTAGGAGACTTTAACACCCCACTTTCACCAATGGACAGATCATCCAAGATGAAAATAAATAAGGAAACACAAGCTTTAAATGATACATTAAACAAGATGGACTTAATTGATATTTATAGGACATTCCATCCACAAACAACAGAATACACATTTATCTCAACTGCTCATGGAACATTCTCCAGAATAGATCATATCTTGGGTCACAAATAAAGCCTTGGTAAATTTAAGAAAATTGAAATTGTATCAAGTATCTTTTCCGACCACAACACTATGAGACTAGATATCAATTACAGGAAAAGATCTGTAAAAAATACAAAGACATGGAGGCTAAACAATACACTACTTAACAACGAAGTGATCACTGAAGAAATCAAAGAGGAAATCAAAAAATACCTAGAAACAAATGACAATGGAGACACGACGACCCAAAATCTATGGGATGCAGCAAAAGCAGTTCTAAGAGGGAAGTTTATAGCAATACAATCCTACCTTAAGAAACAGGGAACATCTCGAATAAACAACCTAACCTTGCACCTCAAGCAATTAGAGAAAGAAGAACAAAAAAACCCCAGAGTTAGCAGAAGAAAAGAAATCATAAAAATCAGACCAGAAATAAATGAAAAAGAAATGAAGGAAACAATAGCAAAGATCAATAAAACTCACAGCTGGTTTGTTGAGAAGACAAACAAAATTGATAAACCATTAGCCAGACTCATCAAGAAAAAAGGGAGAAGACTCAAATCAATAGATCTAGAAATGAAAAAGGAGAAGTAACAACTGACACTGAAGAAACACAAAAGATCATGAGAGATTACTACAAGCAACTCTATGCCAATAAAATGGACAACCTGGAAGAAATGGACAAATTCTTAGAAATGCACAACCTGCCAAGACTGAATCAGAAAGAAATAGAAAATATGAACAGACCAATCACAAGCACTGAAATTGAAACTGTGATTAAAAATCTTCCAACAAACAAAAGCCCAGGACTAGATGGCTTTACAGGCGAATTCTATCAAACATTTAGAGAAGAGCTAACACCTATCCTCTCAAACTCTTCCAAAATAAAGCAGAGTGAGGAACACGCCCAAACTCATTCTACAAGGCCATCATCACCTTGATACCAAAACCAGGCAAGGATGTCACAAAGAAAGAAAACTACAGGCCAATATCACTGATGAACATAGATGCAAAAATCCTCAACAAAATACTAGCAAACAGAATCCAACAGCACATTAAAAGGATCATACACCATGATCAAGTGGGGTTTATTCCAGGAATGCAAGTAGTTTTCAATATACGCAAATCAATCAATGTGATACACCATATTAACAAATTGAAGGAGGAAAACCATATGATCATCTCAATAGATGCAGAGAAACCTTTCGACAAAATTCAACACCCATTTATGATAAAAAACTTGCAGAAAGTAGGCATAGAGGGAACTTTCCTCAACATAATAAAGGCCATATATGACAAACCCACAGCCAACATCGTCTTCAATGGTGATAAACTGAAAGCATTTCCACTAAGATCAGGAACAAGACAAGGTTGCCCACTCTCACCACTCTTATTCAACATAGTTCTGGAAGTTTTAGCCACAGCAATCAGAGAAGAAAAGGAAATAAAAGGAATCCAAATCGGAAAAGAAGAAGTAAAGCTGTCACTGTTTGTAGATGACTTGATACTATACATAGGGAATCCTAAAGATGCTACCAGAAAACTACTAGAGCTAAGCAATGAATTTGGTAAAGTAGCAGGATACAAAATTAATGCACAGAAATCTCTTGCATTCCTATACACCAATGATGAAAAATCTGAAAGTGAAGTCAAGAAAACACTCCCATTTACCACTGCAACAAAAAGAATAAAATATCTACGAATAAACCTACCTAAGGAGACAAAAGACCTGTATGCAGAAAATTATAAGACACTGATGAAAGAAATTAAAGATGATACAAATAGATGAAGAGGTATATCATGTTCTTAGATTGGAAGAATCAACATTGTGAAAATGACTCTACTACCCAAAGCAATGTACAGATTCAATGCAATCCCTATCAAACTACCACTGGCATTTTTCACAGAACTAGAAGAAAAAATTTCACAATTTGTATGGAAACACAAAAGACCCTGAATAGCCAAAGCAATCTTGAGAACGAAAAACGGAGCTGGAGGAATCAGGCTCCCTGACTTCAGACTATACTACAAATCTACAGTAATCAAGACAGTATGGTACTGGCATAAGAAGAGAAAGAAAGATCAATGGAACAGGATGGAAAGCCCAGAGATAAACCCACGCACATATGGTCACCTCATCTTTGATAAAGGAGGCAGGAATGTACAGTGGAGAAAGGACAGCCTCTTCAATAAGTGGTGCTGGGAAAACTGGACAGGTGCATGTAAAAGTATAAGATTAGATCATTCCCTAACACCATACACAAAAATAAGCTCAAAATGGATTAAAGACCTAAATTTAAGGCCAGAAACTATCAAACTCTTAGAGGAACACATAGGCAGAGCACTCTATGACATAAATCATGGCAAGATCCTTTCTGACCCACCTCCTAGAAAACTGGAAATAAAAACAAAAATAAACAAATGGGACCTAATGAAACTTCAAAGCTTTTGCACAGCAAAGGAAACCATAAACAAGAGGAAAAGACAACCCTCAGAATGGGAGAAAATATTTGCAAATAAATCAACTGATGAAGGATTAATCTCCAAAATTTACAGGCAGCTCATGCAGCTCAGTAACAAAAAAATAAACAACCCAATCCAAAAATGGGCAGAAGACCTAAACAGACATTTCTCCAAAGAAGATATACAGACTGCCAGCAAACACATGAAAGAATGCTCAACATCATTAATCATTAGAGAAATGCAAATCAAAACTACAATGAGATATCATCTCACACCAGTCAGAATAGCCATCATCAAAAAATCTAGAAACAATAAATGCTGGAGAGGGTGTGGAGAAAAGGGAACACTCTTGCACTGCTGGTGGGAATGTGAATTGGTTCAGCCACTATGGAGAACAGTATGGAGGTTCCTTAAAAAACTACAAATAGAACTACCATATGACCCAGCAATCCCATTACTGGGCATATACCCTGAGAAAACCGTAATTCAAAAAGAGTCATGTACCAAAATGTTCATTGCAGCTCTATTTACAATAGCCCGGAGATGGAAACAAGCTAGGTGCCCATCGTCGGATGAATGGATAAAGAAGATGCGGCACATATATACAATGGAACATTACTCAACCATAAAAAGAAACGAAATTGAGCTATTTGTAATGAGGTGGATGGACCTAGAGTCTGTCATACAGAGTGAAGTAAGTCAGAAAGAGAAAGACAAATACCGTATGCTAACACATATATATGGAATTTGAGAAAAAATGTCATGAGGAACCTAGGAGTAAGACAGGAATAAAGAGACAGACCTACTAGAGAATGGACTTGAGGATATAGGGAGGGGGAAGGGTAAGCTGTGACAAAGTGAGAGAGTGGCATGGACATATATACACTACCAAACGTAAAATAGATAGCTAGTGGGAAGCAGCCACATAGCACAGGGAGATCAGCTCGGTGCTTTGTGGCCACCTAGAGGGGTGGGATAGGGAGAGTGGGACGGAGGGAGACCCAAGAGGGAAGAGATATGGGAACATATGTATATGTATACCTGATTCACTTTGTTATAAAGCAGAAACTGACACACCATTTTAAACCAATTATACTCCAATAAAGATGTAAATAAAATAAAATAAAATAAAATAAAATAAATAAATCATGAGAAGTGAGTAAATTTCCAGGTGAGACAGAAAAACCCCCTCGTAGTGCTTAGAGGTCAGAAGGTTGTCTCAGAAAAAGGTGGTTCTGCCAGATGCAAGTTCAAACACACCAGGAGAGACAATAAGACATTTATGAAGGACTTCCCTGGTAGTCCAGTGGTTAAGACTCAGTGCTTCCACCGCAGTGGGCAAGGGTTCAATCCCTAGTCAGAGAAATAAGATCTCACATGCCATAGGGCACAGCCAAAAAGACAAAATAAAAACTTAAACAAAAAAAGACATTTATGAAAAAGGGTAATCCTTTCTTTAAATTCTGACACTAGTTAGATTCTCTGTAGAGCCCAGAGTCTGTTTTGAAGGCTATACTTTGAAATATTTGAATAGCCTGAGAGGCGGACATCATGAACCGCCTCTCTGGGTGGTCTGGATTTAAACTTGCTTCAGTGAAAGATTAAGATACAAAGCTATCTCAAGAGTATTCCAGGTCTGATTTAATGAAAACTGCAATACTGTATCTTTCTTGTTTACCTCTTGCAAAAAGTAGATGTTGTGGCAATTTGAAAACTGTATTAAAATTTCTCCCACACCGTTTTATACTTCAGTTACCACTGAAACTGGACTAATTTTTAAATGAAGAATGCCATTTTTCTTTGTTACACTGAACAACTGTTTAAATCTGTTTTTCTGGGAAAAGGTGTCCTATAAATAAGTTTCTTACCTTTTATAGAGGTTTTGAGACAGAAAGAGGTTAAGAAGGCAATCGTGCAGCTTCTGTTTACTTCCCTGCTGCTGGAATAGCCAAGGCAGTTCATCTGCACTCCTCCAAGTCACTCGGTCCTGACTATTAGAAGAGAAGGGACAACATTCAATAATACATTGCTACAATGAGATCACTTCAAAAAGCTACAGACAAATGCTAAAGGAGAGAGACATTTGAGATATATCCCTGACTCTGAGTATAATCTAATGCTGAGAAAACTAGGTCAAAATCAGAAACTTGACCAATCTAACTATGAAAACAAAGTGATATTCAGGACCACTGACCAAAGTCTAAAGTTTATTTTCCTAAAATTGAACTGTTAAAAAAAACATAAATAGACACAAATATACACACACAGGTATAAACAGACACACACATTTTTAAACTACTTATTTAACTAGAATAAAATAAAAATAATAAAATGATCCTGCATTGATACCACTTAAGTTTAAATCTTCAGCATAATATTAAAAGACTGACTTATATAATCATCTTTTGTTCTTTTGGCATTAACAGAATAGGAGAGGACTTAACCTTTTAAAATAATAAGGAAATTTTTATACATTGAGTTACACAAGAAAGAGAAATAAGGACACAGAGGTAGAGTGTGTTGCAGAAGCTACAGAAAAACAACATGGACATTTACAATACCTTAGCTGCATGGTGAAATAGTTGGTTAGCTTTTGCCTATATGAAGAAATAATGGTGGGACCTTCCATGTACTCTAGTCTCACTGTTTCCCAAGCCTATGGAGAAAAAGAAAAAACATTACAGTCTATTTTCTGTAAGTCACTGTACAATCTAACAATGAATTTGTAAAAAGAAATTTACAATTATTTCAATTTTATAGTTGTATAATAGAAAGAGCAGTAGAATACTTTAAAATTTGGTATATATTTATGTGATAAACTGACATGAGAATTCCTGTAAGAACTCAAAATATAATTCAATTCAAACTTCTGGTGAATACATTAAAAATCTGAAATGTGTTTTACAAAAGTACTAAAAAGAGCCAATTATATTTAAGTGATATACAATAAAGGAGAAAGATAAGCCTGTGAAATTACAAACATTCCACACCTGCATATATAACACAGCATACTCAAATGAAAGACTTCATTTACATTTGTTTATATGTATAAATCATCCATGGCATTGCAGATGATAAGAATTATATTGGTATTTCTGTGGTATCTGTTGCGATTTCTCCTATTTCTTGTTTTATTTAGGTCTTCTCTCTTTTCTTCTTGGTGACTCTGGCCAGAGGTTTGCTAATGTTTTAAATTTATTTATTTATTTTTATTTTTGGCTGCAGTGGGTGTTCATTGCTGCATGCGGGCTTTCTCTAGTTGTGGTGAGTGGGGGCTACTCTTCGTGGCAGTGTGTGGGCTTCTCATTGCGGTTGTTTCTCTTGTTGCGGAGCATGGGTTCTAGGAGTACAGGCTTCAGTAGTTGTGGCATGCGGGCTCAGTAGTTGTGGCTCATGGGCTCTAGAGTGAAGGCTCAGTCACTGTGGCACAGGGGCTTAGTTGCTCTGCGGCATGTGGGATATCCCCGGACAGGGCTTGAACCTGTGTCCCCTGCATTGGCAGGTGGATTCTTAACCACTGTGCCACCAGGGAAGTCCTGAGGTTTGTCAATTTTGTTTACCCTTTCAAAGAACCAGTTCTTGGTATTATTGATTTTTTCTATTGTTTTTTTAAATCTATTTTATTTATTTCCTCTCTGATTTTTATAATCTCTTTCCTTCTGCTGACTTTAGGTTTTGTTTGTTCTATTTCTAATTCTTTTATGTGGTGGGTTAGGTTATTTGAGATTTTTCTTATCTCTATGAACTTCCCTCTAAGAACTGCTTTTGCTGCATCCCATAGATTTTGTATGGTTGTGTTTTCATTGTCATTTGCCTCAAGGTATTTTTAAATTTCTTCTTTGATTTCATCATTGACTCACTGGTTTTTCAGTAGTATGTTGCTTAGTCTCTATGCAATTGTTTTTTTTCTCATTTATTTTTCTGTGGTTGATTTCTAGTTTCATGACATTGTGGTCAGAAAAGATGCTTGAAATAATTTCTATACTTTTAAATTTGTTGAGACTTGTTTTGTGCCCTAGTATGTGGTCAATCCTAGAGAATGTTCCATGTGCACTTGAAAAGAATGTGTATTCTGCTTTATTTGGGATGTAATGTCTTGAAAATATCAATTAAGTCTAATTGTTCTATTGAATCATTTAGGATCTCTGTTGCCTTATTGATTTTCTGTCTCAAAGATCTGTCCATTGATGTGAGTAGGGTGTTAAAATCTCCTACCATTATTGTATTCTCATCAATTTCTCCTGTTATGTCTGTTAGTATTTATTTTATGTATTTGGGTGCTCCTATATTGGGTGCATATATGTTGATGAGTGTAATATCCTCTCCTTGTATTGATCCTTATATCATTATATAGTGTCCTTCTTTATCTTTCTTTATAGTCTTTGTTTTAAAGTCTATTTTGTCTGATATGAGTATTGCAACCCCACTTTCTTGTCATTTCCATTTGCATGAAATATCTTTTTCCATCCCCTCATTTTCAATCTATGTGTGTCCTTTGCCCTAAAATGGGTCTCTTGTAGGCAGCATATTGTCAGCTCTTGTTTTTTTCTCCAATCTGCCACTCTGTCTTTTGACTGGAGCATCTAGTCCATTGACAGCTGAGGTAATTATTGATAGATATGTATTTATTGCCATTTTAAACCTTGTTTTCCCATTGATTTTATATTTCTTCTTTGTCCCTTTCTTTTTCTTTTTGTTTTTCCTTTCATGGTTTGATGATTTTCTTTTGTATTATGCTTACGTTCTCTTCTTTTCGGTTTTTTTGAGTCTACTGTATGTTTTTGATTTATGGTTACCCTGTTTTTCAAGTATGTTAACCCCTTCCTATATCTACTTGCCTTACACTCGTAGTTACATAGGCTCAAACACATTCTAGAAAAAAAAATCTACATTTTCTTATGCTCTTCTCCCATGTTTTATGATTTTGATGTCCTCTTTTACATCTTCATGTTTGTCCTTTTGCTGTTCGTTGTGGTTCATGTGTGATTCTGTGAATCATCACTCTCACAGAAATTGTTTTTTTTAATCTGTGTACTGGCTTATTTAACTGATTTACTTTCCAATTGTGGTTTTCTCTTCCCTAGATTCTTACTTCTTTTCTATTTAGATAAGATCTTTCAATATTTCCTTTAGTATAGGTTTAGTTTTTCCTTGTCTGAAAAATTTTTATCTCTCCTTCTATTCTAAATGATAATCTTGGTGGGTGGAATTTCCTAGGCTGCAGGTTTTTCCCTTTCAGAACTTTGAATATATCATGTCACTCCCTTCTGGCTTGCAACACTCCTGTAGAGAAATCAGCTGATAGCCTTATGGGGGTTCCCTTGTAATCAACTGTTTTTCTCCTACTGCCTTTAGAATCCTCTCTTTATGTTTAACTTTTGCCATTTTTATTATAATATGTCTTGGTGTAGGTCTGTTTGAGTTTATCTTGTTTGGGACCCTCTGTGCTTCCTGAACCTGGGTATCTGTTTCCTTCTTTAGGTTTGGGAAGTTTTCAGATATAATTTCTTCAAATACATTTTCTTTTCTTTTTTTTTTAACATCTTTACTGGGGTATAATTGCTTTACAATGGTATGTTAGTTTCTGCTTTATAACAGAGTGAATCATTTATACATATACATATGTTCCCATATCTCTTCCCTCTTTGTCTCCCTCACTCCCACCCTCCCTATCCCACCCCTCCAGGCAGGCACAAAGAACCGAGCCAGTATCCCTGTGCCATGCGGCTGCTTCCCAATGGCTATCTACCTTACGTTTGTTAGTATATATATGTCCATTTCTCTCTCTCGCCCTATCACAGCTCACCCTTCCCCCTCCCCATATCCTCAAGTCTGTTCTCCAGTAGGTCTGTGTCTTTATTCCTGTTTTACCCCTAGGTTCTTCATAACATTTTTTTCCCCCTTAATTTCATATATGTGTGTTAGCATACGGTATTTGTCCTGCTCTTTCTGACTTACTTCACTCTATATGATAGACTCTAGGTCTATCCACCTCATTACAAATAGCTCAATTTCGTTTCTTTTTATGGCTGAGTAATATTCCATTGTATATATGTGCCACATCTTCTTTATCCATTCATCCGATGATGGGCACCTAGCTTGTTTCCATCTCCGGGCTATTGTAAATAGAGCTGCAATGAACATTTTGGAACATGACTCTTTTTGGTTTCCCCAGGGTATATGCCCAGTAGTGGGATTGCTGGGTCATATGATAGTTCTATTTGTAGTTTTTTAAGGAACCTCCATACTGTTCTCCATAGTGGCTGAACCAATTCACATCCACCAGCAGCACCAGCAGTGCAAGAGTGTTCCCTTTTCTCCACACCCTCTCCAGCATTTATTGTTTCTAGATTTTTTGATGATGGCCATTCTGACTGGTGTGAGATGATATCTCATTGTAGTTTTGATTTGCATTTCTCTAATGATTAATGATGTTGAGCATTCTTTCATGTGTTTGTTGGCAGTCTGTATATCTTCTTTGGAGAAATGTCTATTTAGGTCTTCTGCCCATTTTTGGATTGGGTTGTTTATTTTTTTGTTATTGAGCTGCATGAGCTGCCTGTAAATTTTAGAGATTAATCCTTTGTCAGTTGATTCATTTGCAAATATTTTCTCCCATTCTGAGGGCTGTCTTTTGGTCTTGTTTATGGTTTCCTTTGCTGTGCAAAAGCTTTGAAGTTTCATTAGGTCCCATTTGTTTATTTTTGTTTTTATCTCCATTACTCTAGGAGATGGGTCAAGAAGGATCTTGCTGTGATTTATGTCATAGAGTGTTCTGCCTATGTTTTCCTCTAAGAGTTTGATAGTTTCTGGCCTTACATTTAGGTCTTTAATCCATTTTGAGCTTATTTTTGTGTATGGTGTTAGGGAGTGATCTAATCTCATACTTTTACATGTACCTGTCCAGTTTTCCCAGCACCACTTATTGAAGGGGCTGTCCTTTCTCCACTGTATATTCCTGCCACCTTTATCAAAGATAAGGTGACCATATGTGCATGGGTTTATCTCTGGGCTTTCTATCCTATTCCATTGATCTATCTTTCTGTTTTTGTGCCAGTACCATACTGTCTTGATTACTGTAGCTTTGTAGTATAGTCTGAAGTCAGGCAGCCTGATTCCTCCAGCTCCATTTTTTGTTCTCAAGATTGCTTTGGCTATTCGGGGTCTTTTGTGTTTCCATACAAATTGTGAAATTTTTTGTTCTAGTTCTGTGAAAAATGCCAGTGGTAGTTTGATAGGGATTGCATTGAATCTATAGATTGCTTTGGGGAGTAGAGTCATTTTCACAATGTTGATTCTTCCAATCCAAGAACATGGTATATCTCTCCATCTGTTTGTATCATCTTTAATTTCTTTCATCAGTGTCTTATAATTTTCTGCATACAGGTCTTTTGTCTCCTTAGGTAGGTTTATTCCTAGATATTTTATTCTTTTTGTTGCAATGGTAAATGGGAGTGTTTTCTTGATTTCACTTTCAGATTTTTCATCGTTAGTATATAGGAATGCCAGAGATTTCTGTGCATTAATTTTGTATCCTGCTACTTTACCAAATTCATTGATTAGCTCTAGTAGTTTTCTGGTAGCATCTTTAGGATTCTCTATGTATAGTATCATGTCATCTGCAAACAGTGACAGCTTTACTTCTTCTTTTCCGATTTGGATTCCTT